GGACGGGGAGGCGGCGGGGGGTGTCTCCGCTCCGTTGCCGGCGCTCATCGGCCGCCGCTCTGCTCCGCTCCGCAGGCTCTGGGCTCGCCGTGCCCCGCCGTCTGCCAGTGCCCGGCGGCCGTGCCGCAGTGCGCCCCGGGCGTGGGGCTGGTGCCGGACGGCTGCGGCTGCTGCAAGGTCTGCGCCAAGCAGCTGAACGAGGACTGCAGCCGGGTGCACCCCTGCGACCACACCAAGGGGCTGGAGTGCAACTTCGGCGCCAGCCCCGCCGCCCTGAAGGGCATCTGCAGAGGTAAGCGCCCCCCCCCCCTCCCCCGGGAGTAAAACCCCGCTCCCCGTAGTGCCGGAGTTTAGTAATTTCGAGTCCATGTATGGTTATGCTTTGTTGTTGGTAGCTTGGCAGAAAGGCACATGACTTCAGCAGTCTGGAATGCGATTCAGTATGTCTGGGCTGCGCTAAACGCACATAAGGAAAAGTGATTCCTGACTAACTTATTGTTCTGGCCCCGCGTCTCCGGGGGATTGTAGGGAGCTCCGCCGTAAATTGAATTTAACAGACCAGCAAATACCTGCGCTCAGGCGAGCCATTCCCACCGCTGACTCCCTCTTTCCCTTCTCTGTTGATCTCTGCAGCACAGTCCGAGGGGAGACCGTGCGAATACAACTCCAAAATCTACCAGAACGGCGAAAGCTTCCAGCCGAACTGTAAACACCAGTGTACGTGCATAGATGGAGCTGTGGGCTGCATCCCGCTCTGCCCGCAAGAGCTCTCTCTCCCTAACCTGGGCTGCCCCAGCCCCAGGCTGGTCAAAGTCCCCGGGCAGTGCTGTGAAGAGTGGGTCTGCGATGAAAGCAAGGATGCGCTGGATGAGCTGGAGGGCTTCTTCAGCAAAGAGTTTGGTCTGGATGATGCTGAAGGCGAGCTAACCCGGAACAACGAGCTAATTGCCATTGTGAAAGGAGGCCTGAAAATGCTACCTGGTGAGTATGGGCTAATCTGTGTGACAGTTAAGGGGAGGAGGCGGGAGGATGGCCATATGACTCCTTAGACCCCAATGGAAAGAAAGAAACCCTGTGAGAGGATGTATTTAGGCTAAGCCCTCCTTTTCTTTTCCAGTTTTTGGATCTGAGCCACAAAGCCGAGCTTTTGAGAATCCCAAATGCATTGTGCAAACAACCTCCTGGTCCCAGTGCTCAAAAACGTGTGGAACTGGCATCTCCACCAGGGTTACCAACGACAATCCTGACTGCAAGCTCATCAAAGAGACCAGGATATGTGAAGTGAGGCCATGTGGCCAGCCTAGCTATGCCTCCCTAAAGGTAAATACAGACTCTTCTGCTGTTCCTCCTCTTTCCAAACTGCTTCGGGTAGAGGGTAAAGCCTGGAGAAGAATCTCCTGCTAATGATACTGTTGTCTCTTCTTTGCAGAAGGGAAAAAAATGTACGAAGACTAAGAAGTCCCCATCCCCAGTAAAATTTACTTACGCCGGATGTTCCAGCGTGAAGAAGTACCGCCCCAAGTACTGTGGCTCCTGCGTGGACGGCAGATGCTGTACACCTCAGCAGACCAGGACTGTCAAGATCAGGTTCCGTTGCGATGATGGGGAAACCTTCACCAAGAGCGTCATGATGATCCAGTCCTGCCGATGCAACTACAACTGTCCGCACGCGAATGAGGCTTATCCCTACTACAGACTGGTCAATGACATCCACAAATTTAGGGACTAAGTTGTGTTGGGGGTGGGATGCTGAACAGAATTTTGAAGTAACCAGCGACGGAGAAAGGACCTTTGATGGAAATGGTGCCTTGCCCATTTGCGGGCAACTTTGAGATGAGTGCACTGTGCAACTGGACACTAATGCAACAGAGATTTAAGCATACTTAAAGCTTCATAGTACTGGAGCAATGTTACTGCTTCTTTTTGGAGCACCTTACCTAATTATATACTGTTTTCTGTTTGTAAGTGATCAGATAAATGTTTTGTTCCGGTTATGAAAACTGTTTTTTCTATCCTGTTCAATTTAACACTATGCTTCTCCCCCTCCCTCCATCTTCTCCCACCTTTTCCCAACCATGTTGGAAGTTACATTCCTTCCTGAGGTGGGCACTTGTGGGGTGTTCACAGTGGCAGCTATTATGTACCAACTGTAGTTTAATGGCAAACAGAAATCAGTTGTTTTAAAGCTGAGTATTTTATTTATCAAACTGTAGCTTTTTTGGTTTTCTTTGTGTTTTGTTTTGTTTTTTTTTTTTTTTTACCCCTTCCAGCCCCTGTAATACTGGAATAAGTTGTAAATGATTTTAATTTTATATTCAATGAATTAAAAGAATTTATTTATGGAATTAATCATTTAATAAAGAAATATTTACCTAACTATTCTTAGCAGAGCAGTCTGATAAGCGACAGACTCAAATACAGCAAATGCAAGAGCTTTCTGTGAAAACCTTGAATTCTGAAAATGAAAACAAGCTCTCCCCAGATGCAGCAATGAGCTAGAAAGCTGGGTGAAATTCTTGGGGTAAATGACATTTCTGAAGTGGTGTATGCAGTCTGCTCTACAAACTACAGACAGAGAAAGCTTCTTGGCATCGAAAGCAAAATGTTTGATAGGGACACTGAAATGTTAATTAGACTGTCAGATTATTCAAACCATCCTGGAATTTGCCACATAAGGTACTTCATTAGAATGCAGCGCATGCAGGGCGATGTTGAACATCGGGGTGGAAGTGGTTGTCAGGTCTCACATTTTTTGGTGGCTGCTTTTTGCAAATTAATACATTTCTGTGGAAGAAGAATGTTTCCTACAGTCTGCAGGAGGTAGTTTGCTTTCACTAAATTCAAATTAAATGAGCTTGAAGCAATGACTTCTGTTAATCCTAATAACCCAGTGATGAAAAGTAAACACACTGTTAACGGGAGAAGAATGTGAGGAATTTCAAGTACTTCTCCAATAGAGTAAAAGCCAAAGCAGCCGCTCTTTTCTCTTCCTCACCTCCCATTCCCACTTTTTAAATATGTAATTGCACTTTATGCTGTGGCCCAGCTGACGTTTGGCTAACTGAGGGAGCTGTAAGCTGGCACACAGTAAGAAAACAACATTTAAAAAATGGAGCTAAAGGAGGATCTGAGAAAGCAGCTTCAAACATTTGTGCTGTGCGGGTTAGCGTAAAGCTGTGCTACAGATAAGACTGAAAGGAAACCTGCAATGGGGCTTTTTTTCCTCCTCAGTCCTTAGTTTTCTGGCAAAACACTCTCCCATAGCCCCGTAAGAAAGCTACTTTTCATAAAAACCAGAGACTGGGTCCTGAGGTTTTAGAAATGCGAAGGGGTATCACCCAGCCATGTAGTTAGATGCCGAAGTTGTTAAGAGTCAACTTTTTATTAGATTAGACATAAATATTTCAATGAAATAAATGGCCAAATATCTCAGCAGCTCATCTCTGGCAGTTAATGCTTCGCCTGAGAAATTACAGCCGTCTCTCCTCTGCTCAGTCAAGTTCTCTCCCCGCAGGCGTTCAAAGCTTGAGCTGTTTTGGAATTCACCACCTGGCCACCAGTCTCAGCTGTACCTAAACTTGTCCGTGCAATACTTGTTGACAGTGAAAGCGTAAAACCCAACCAAGTGCTTTTGTTTGGCTTCTGCTTGCACCTAGCAGTGAGCACGTCACTACCTCAGCCGCTCACTGAGAAACCCCCAGGTTTCCAGGCTGGGTCGCTGCGTGGAGAGAGGCAGGGGAACACGCTGCTCACAGACACACAGCGGCTGCAGGAGCATTCCTCACCATCCCCACTGCCCTTAGACTTGATTAACAACCATCTTCAAACCCACGTAAGTAACAGTTCCCTGAAAAATTACGTATACGTGTGACTGTACTATACACACAGACTACATGTCTGTAACACGCACACCCTATAGAAACAACAGTGGCCCTTCCAGCTCCTGCCTCAGGTGTGGATCCAACCAGACCCCCGGATTTTACAACCCGCACTTTGGGCTTTCCATGTTTCATCAGGTGGAGGGGGGGTGTAGTTCTGTAACCTGTAAATGTACTGTTGGGAGAATAAGGGCTGCAGGAGCCCATCATGCTCAGGAGCGAAATGCACTAAATGAAATCATCCTGCTGTAAAGAGAGGGAATGAACCCCACTGAAATGAACCGCAACTCTCCCAGAGCTGGGATCTCACACCAACTAATCATCATCCACAAAGTCCTCTCTTTGCTTTTTGCATTTCACAATTGCATGGGACAAATACTAAACTCCACAATTCCCCATGCTGCAAAAGGAATCACTGTCATTTTTTTGTGCATCATCTTTGTACTTGCTTTGAAATCTTTACACCCTCTGTTGTTCCAGCAGAAAACCCTCTAAACACTAAACATGAAAATACAAATGACAAAAGCATTCCTTTAAGTGCAATCAGCAGGGATAACAGGTAAGGTTAATGAGCACAATTATAATTGTATTTCTTGGACAAAACCTAAAATATCACTATCTTTCTTCCAGATGAATACTGACAGATGAGGATTTAGGAACATAATAAATGCTGTACCTGACAAGAAGCAGTCAGGTTTCACACACTTCAATGCCAGGCCACCAGGCAGATGAAACCCTGAAAATAAAGCCACCTGCGGGGTGTGGGGCTCCCCTAAGCCGGGCAGGCACCCGGGGACCCCCGCGCTCCTCTGGGGAGCCCTGGCACACCTGACGGGCCAGCAGCACGGACAGACCCTGCGACCACTGTCCTGCCTGCAGCCCCAGCCACCCCAGCTCTCCCCTCTCACGGCTACCCCTGCCCCCTTGGCTGTATTTTGAGGGTGCTGGGGTTTGTCACGCAGCCCCCCAGGCAGCGCTGCTGGCGTGTGCTGGGGTCACCCGGGGATGGAGCGTGGTGGCACAGGGCAGTTTGCTGAGGCCGGTGCTGCCGCCAAAAGGAGCATCTGTCAAACTACAGTTTTAGCACTGAAGGAATGTGCAGTCTTGAGTTCAAGGCACTGATCTGCAGGGGTTTGGTGGTGGTATTAACCCACGATAATACCTGGGTTACGTATAACATCTTTCCTCCACACCACAGTGAAGACAAAGCTTCTGCCTCCTTAAGTGCTGCATCACAGGAAACAAAGCAGAAGCAGGAGTATGCAGAAAACAGACTTCCATGATTACAGTAAGCCCTCTCCTGTGGGACGCTGTAGCTCGCTCTCCTGAGTGAGCAGGGGATGGAGGAAACACCAGCATCTTACTGACAGCGGGACAGCCACGCTATTAACTAAACCTCACCAGGCTGAGCCAGGAGAACCTCTATTCTCCATATATCAATCACTGCAGAGCCCACAGCAAAGTGGTCCCCGCTGAGCTGCCTGACCCTCCGGCGGATGCCTCCTGGGAATCGGGACCATCTCCCTGCTGCTGGTGGGCAGCCAAAGCGACACGTGGGCTGCCCGGGAACAGGCAGAGACACTGTGGACTGGTGGGATTGCCATGGGAGGACTTCCTGTGCCCACAGTCCATTGAAGCTGCAGGAATCTCCCCACGCTCCAGACAGGGAGCTCTGCTCTCCCACAGACTCGGGTAGGCAGGAGAACTTCTGGCCTAGAGCTGCACAGGTCTTGAAGACCGAAACAAGAAAGTTTGTATTGGGCAGTCATTCAGAGCTGGAAGTCAAGCCCACCTACCTACACAGCAGCAGCTACATGTGTCACACCAGTGGCTCGCTTTTTGCCAGATGCTGGCCCTTCTGAGCAGATCCTGCAGAAAAGCACTTTGATGCATGTGCAGATATTAGTTTATTCCTGTGTAATCAGTGGAACCACCTCCACGCAGTGCCCAGAGCGCTCAGCACACAGCAAGGGAAGGCTGTGTGGTTGTACGGGTGGCTCTGCCTACAGCCTGTTTTTTTCACATAGACATGTCCTTGTTTTGATCCTCACCATTTCTTCCTTCACGTTACATAGCCACGTATAGAATCGCACATTGAAACGTGGAGGTGCCATGGTGAAAGCAGTAACATACAACTAGCTTTAGAGATAGCTATAAATGCATTTCAACTCATGAACAACCAAACTGCATTGAACTCCAGTGAGACTTGGTGTCTAGAAGACATAAATCCTGTAAAACGCGACTTCAACCAACAAAATGGTTGGTGTGTGTCTTTTACTCCGTAAAGACCAAACACCAAGAAACTGAACCGATTGTACCCAGTATACTGTGATTATTTCCCCAGAAAAACTACAGAACTATGATTTCTACATACACAATTTATATTGGAGAATATCCTGAAAGACCCCAAGGCACCATTCACATAAACAACTTCATCTGTCTTGAAGTACACTTAAGGGATGGAATGTAGCAACCGTCCAGGAGGAAAAGATTTCGCAAGATTTTATAAAGTTCTTGCTTATTAGACAGAAGAAATTGAAAGGTAAGGTGCGTAGATTTGCTCAGATGGGAATCTAGCTAGGACACATACTTGAACAACCTCATGATGAATGCAGTTTCAATAAGAATCAAGGGGCTCTGTTACAGATCTCAGTTGAGCGGTCAGCACTGTAGTCCAGTAGTATTTTGAGACCCCTGCTTGAACATCAGATCAAAAGGAGCCCAGCAGATCATACGAGTTGAAGACACTGGTTTCTCAGAAGCTGCTTTTGAGCATCTCAGAAGCTGCTTTTGAGCATCTCAAACCAACCAGGTTAGATCCTAATTAGCTCATGAATTTGACAAAATCAGACATCAAGATGTCACAGCTGTAAAGCAAGTCTATTAATAAGAACTTAAACCAGGAAAATATATTTTACTCCACAGAAACAGACATTCACACTGTAGTGGAACAATCCCATTAAAACCAGTACGGATGCTCAAGGACAGCTGAAAGCACAGATTGGGAAAAAAGGCCAACCAAGTGATGCCACTGAGAGTTTAGGTGTGAAAGTGATGGGGACTTCTCAGTGAAGCTTTTAACGCCACCCCTGTCCGCTCTTTTTCCCAAATGCTTATACCTCATCCACCAACTTGATTTTCACCTCAGACATACCTCTCTACTGCCTGTTGGCACTCTTGGGAAAATGGGCAAGTTCTGGGGCTACAACATGATTCAGGAGAAAACTTGGAAACAAGGAGCATAAAGGCAACAGTCACTTCTTCCTCCTTCTTGAGGCAGAACTCGGATAATAGGAAGAAAGTAGCAATGTGATTTTAAAAACACTTTTGCTTTCTCCACTAGCTGGGATCGTGCAGGAACCAGCCAGCTCCCATTGTGGCAATTTATTCTCTAAATCAAGGCTCCCTCTCATTTCTATCCCTGCTTCTTTGGCAGATTATTTTTAACCCACTCTAGATTTGTCACACAACTCCACAAAGAGCTGTACTGATGCAAATGATGCAAAAAGAAGCCTAATGCAAAAGGATTAGATAAATATGAGGACTACTGTCCCAGCTAAAAAAGTGTTTCTATCACTAGTTGGAGCTAGGAAGTCCACAAAGACTTCCCCTTGCCCCAAAGGCAGGCAAGGCTCTAGTGGCTTTTCATATTTTATCACTCTATTGACTTTTCCTGCCAAAAAAACCTTCTGCAATAAGATAGCCTGGAAATGCTTTTCGGCAGGAAAAGTGAGCAGTGGTGAAATCAGGCCAAGCCAGTGGAACTTTGCTTCCAAAACAAAAATATGTTATGATGCACAGAGCTGAGGAGGGACAGAAGCTCTCACAATAAAAGCATCAGTAGAGCTAAGTCACCGTCCGATGGGTCACCGAGACCCAGCAGGACACAGTGGGAACACATTTCTGTTATCACCTCGCAGACAGACAGGCAGCAAAACAACTATCCCTGCTTTTTCCTGGTCATCTGCAACTTCCCTTTCAGTTTCAGTATTTATTTGGAGTTGTTTTTGCTGCCGTTTCTTGTTTGTCTTGCATACATGTGACTTCCTTCCACTTCACCACAAATTTCCACCAAATAAAACCATATGCACTGCCATAGCAACATTTTAACACAAACACAGGGTAATCTTTGTTCACTGAAGTACACAGTTCATTTTTTTTTTCTCTTATTAACAGAACGTGCATCTGCATACAGTTTAACCCAATGTCATAGCAACAACATAAACACAAATTCAAGATATTTTTTCCTTTGGAGGGAGGAAGAATAAATGTTTTCAGGAAAGGAGCGTGGGACTTAGGAAAGCAGAACGAAATGTTTGTGACCAAATATGGCCTGGTGTTACATCATCACAGCTGTATATTTACTCTTTGAAAGCCTGCTCTTGCAAGGTGTTATACATTCTCAGTTCCTACAGATGTCAATAGAGAACAGCCGTATCTCGCAGGGCAAGGTCTGAATCCCAGCTACGTTTATACACAAAACAAAGGTCACACTTCCTACCAGCACTACAGCGAATTTAGGAATCCTACTTTTTTAGACTAGAGCGCATGGCAAACAGTTTTACTCCTAATGCAAAGTAAAACTGCACTGTTTGACTGGAGTAACAAAAACGGGTCCGGCTTTGCCTCTGAGACCCAGCGCCAACCACACATTTTGTGGCATGACCCTCTTTTCATCTGCTGATCAACAATTCCTAACCCAGAAATAAACACAGTAAAACCCAGAATTCTGATGTGTTCATTCAAAACTTAGCTGTTACACTGACGGGGGTGTAGCATTGTTTACCCATGACAAGTCAATAACTTATGCCTCATACCCCCAGAAAATTATACAAAAAAGGAAAAGGACCAAGTTTTCTCATAGGGCTGACTCAATCCTACCTCTCAGCTATTGCTATGCGCTTAGCTATGCTCTATTTTTGTCTTCTATGGCTTGTGAAAGGGATGACTTCATTAAGCTTTTAATTTTTTTTTAAGTAGCGTGTTCATTCAGGACAAGAGCCTTTACTCTTTGCTTTGTAAGCTGATGGCCCTTCAGCTCAAGCACACTGTGAGGGTTCAGGGTTTGAAACCTGAAAAGTTTAAACATTACAAGAAATGCCATAACAACACTACACAAAACCAACTTGTTCCTTCTGTGACAAGTAGTTTATAGAGAGAAAAAATAATGAGTAAGCGTAGTAGGCGTAAAATCAAGCACTCAACACAAGCTGGTGTTGGACGATGAAGATTAAAACAGCATCACACAGTTTTCATTCAAAGACATCATCTGCGCTGAATCAAGGCAGAGTCCTGCTGGGATCGTTGTAGAGTATGACTGCAATAGGATGTTTTCAAAATGGACAGAACTGAAGCTCTCCAGGCAGCCTCAGCTCCATGTCTTAAGTTTCAAGTGCCTGACCAGCAATTTTAAAATATAGCTTTGAAAGATGCATTTAATCCTTCAGTTTATTACAAGATGCTCGTTCTAGGTAAAGTCAACTCAGGAAGGAATTAAAAACTTCCCCTAAACGCCTATGAATGTGTTGAAAACCATCTGCCTAGCCAAAGAGTACATACACTTTTGATTAAATCAGTAACCTTATTATGAAGAATTTGCAGGATCTATACTGGTCACCAGTACGGATGTGCTTCTAGCCAGAGACCATATTTTTGATTAATTTTTATAAACAAATATTGAAAAAGTTTAGCAAAACTGAATAAAAATATTTTCATCTTGTCTTGCATTTGATGAATCACCACTGTTCAGATTAGTGCAACTGCTATTGAAACCAAATAAAAACAGGTAAATAGTAACTTGGGAATGAATGGCAAATGCTACCAAGGCCTTTTACTCTCAATTTGATTGAACTCTGGAAGATGATTTCCATCTTTCTTTGGAAAATTTCAAGTTCCAGTAACCACCAAAAGAATGCTCCTTAATAACTTTTTAAAACCTTCTTTAAGGTAGGAAAAGATTTAAATCTGCAGGATAGATTGAACAGCATCTTCATTTAAAAACAAATTATGGTTGTGTTTCACTCACAAGGAAGCTTAAACTAGATTTATGTAAGAAAAAAAACCTCAGGCAAACCCTTTCATACAATTAATGAAATCCTCCGAGAATGTAGGAAAGTAATGCAAATTACAAGTCTGCATTCCTCAGCCAAAGACTAATCACACGCACAGGCAAATCAACATTAATATTTGCAGAACTCTAATTTCCACTGCGTGCTATGAATCTTAAAAGAAATGCCACGCTTTTACTCCAGATGAAACATATTCTGGCAAATGAACTGTGGCAGTTCTGCTGTTCTGCTCTTTTATCGGTGTTATTATGAATGGGTTCAAGACTGGTTTAAAGTAAGCTGTGACTACCAAGTGAGCGTGCAGTAATCACTGATTAGGAAAAGCTTATTCACTTTCACTGAACTGAAAAAATATGAAAGCAGCACCTATAGCTAGGAATCCTGGTCCTTTAAAAAGGGTTAAAAAAACAAACATTGAAACAAGAGGTGGGCAGACGACCAACAATGACTAAAAAAGAAAATAGAGCACAGGAGGCTACTGCCAGGCCAGAAGAAAAACTTCCCTGTTTTACCCAGGGTTGCAAAACACACAAGGGAAAGGACATGTGATATTGCTGTGAAAAAAAGTAATATGTGACTACAAAGGTCTGACGCTCCTTGCAAACTTCAGTAGCTGCATGTCGCACTGAACAACACTTTTTAGTAATAATGTATTTGCAAAGGTGTGAGAAAAAAAAGACTTCTAAACCTTTGAATGTCTCAAAAACCCTCTCCACGCAGTACGACTGGTAAGGAACCGACAGCCTGGTGCCCTGAAGCCTAGACTGGGAGTCTGGAAGCCCGAGCCCTCTCCCATCCCGCTGTCAAAGCCTCCCATCACCTCAACAAGCTCCTTCCCTGCTTTCTGTTGTCTTCCTACCCACAACATCAGCACTGGCAGGCAGAACACTTAGGATTGAAAAACCACCTTCACGGGGGTTTCTCAGCATGCACCCCCTGCCACCAACTTTTTTCACAGAGGTGCTGGTCTCAAGCAGCAGACAGACAGGCTGGGGTAACATCGATGGCAGCATCACCCTCACACAGCTGTTCAGGCAGTGATCACGTCCTTAAGAATTTACAAATACTGACCCTTGCAAACTAACCCCACAGACCTACGCTGATTCCTGAGAGCTCCCCGTGCAAACAGGCAGAGGGGCCCACCCGTGTCACACCACTCACATGCAGGACATGCTGCTCTCATCCCCCAACAGACCCCACAGGCATGGGGGAACTTGGGTACAGGGATAAGTGGTCTGGGATCTTGAAATCTTCTTAGAAGGCAACAACAGATTTCTATTGTCAGCAGATTATACAGTGCAGGACTTTTTTTTTTAAGGTTTATTTGGCTTTTAAGTACATAAATTCAGTTGATATTCCAGTAAATATTTGCAATTCCTGGCCTCAGTAGGTAAACTAGTAATATGAGATGTGTAACACAAGCATTGTTTAGAATTCCAATATATTAGCAATAATGACACTACGTATCCATTTCTATTGATTTTAAAACTCATGCTGATTTAGATCAGGGTAGAAGATTAAACAGACAGCAAAATGCCACCTTGAAAACATGGTTTGACCTGTCCTTAACACATTAAACAAGATGCAACCAAGTAAGAAAAAACCCCAAACGTATTGCACCGGGCACCCAAAATGTCACCACAAAAGATGTAAAAAATAAACTAAGATCATCTGCAGCAGATGACAATGAAATACCCTAAAAGAAAATTAATCTAATGAAACACCTGTGGGTTTTTTTTTTTCCCAGTAAAGATGAGCATTAAGGCCCAAATCCACGTATAAATACAAATATGTGATTAGATATTTAAACTCAAAAATCAGACATTGAGCTGTTAGGATAAAAGGAAAAAATATATTGTTGAAACTAACTTGGAAACTTTAAATTAGGGTTACTCTGATTTACTAAAGATACTTGGATAAAAGGCTGCAATTAAATAAGAATGTATTTTTTTCTGGAACCAATAATTCCCCATCTCTTTACTTACATGCCTAAATATGCATTCCTAAATCCAAAAATAGGCAGGCAGTTTGGAAGTGCTGCCTTTAGTGAAGGACACCAAACCAAACCTGAGTTGTATAAAAAAAGGTTTAATGAACTTAAAAAAAAAAAAAAAAAGTCTAATTCCGCCCTCTTCTCTCAAAGAACCATCATGAACTGTCCCGAATTTCCCCTTCTTCCATAGATGAAAGGGAGGAACTTTCACCGTCCGAACTCTCTGCAGATTCACTGGCATCTGAGGGTGCAGGACACAAAAAACAAACAAACAAGCGATTAGTTTCAGCAATACTGTTTGCTCACCAAACAGAGGCAGTTTCGTATCTTCTTGTCCTTTCAATCATGCTTTCCCAGAGGATGGCTATTGCCTAAGACATAACCAGTCTCGTAACATGGGATCAATCCCTGGGTAGGACCTTGTTGTTGAAGCAGAAAGCAAGACAATGTTGAGAATTACTTTTAGTTTTTAAATCTTGGTCTTCCAGACAAGTAGGTAAGCAGAGTATTTATTCCACACAAAACTATTCCTCTTCATCCACGGAGAATTTCAAACCGTTCTCTTGGCTTATTTGTTTTAAGTGTTGTTTTCTGAGCTGCTACATATATCTCACAACTGTAATGAATTATAAATCACCTACACTTTTATTAGCATTTCACGTAAGATGGGGAACTATTGAGAAATTCTAAATGGAAATGGAAAATTAAGATGATGCATCTATGTGTTCCTTCCACATGCTCCAGCATGCCAAAGATGGTGTTAAGTTGAGTGAATCCATGAGCTAAGGCTGATGAAGTTAAAGGTGCACAATAACTTGTGCTTTAGGACACGGCTGCTGTGGTCTGCTGAAATTATGAAGCAGTCATTTCCCAAACTGGCCTTCAGCCTCACACCCTGAGACTCCTTCCTTAACGAGCCCTGAACTCTGTCACCTTGTGGTGAGGTCACCAAATGCCACTGGTTGGTGGTACTCAAGCAGCACAAAAATAAACTACAGCAAAGCAGGACCGTGATTCACACTCTACTCTCATTGTTATTTTCAGTATTTGATCTGACTATGAATTTAAAGAATGTTTTGAGCATTTAGTGTCAGATGCTTCATTAAGGAGATGATACCAAAAGGGAGCTGATGCAGTGCAGTTACTGTCTTGTCCAGATAAGTTCTACAGCTGGCAAAGACTGGATCATATACAGGACACAGTGTGCACCTGTACACTTCCAATGGAATTTGTTCAAGAAAATAGAAGCATTTCACCCAGAAACATCGGAGGTCACATTTTGTCTACATTAAATCCAGTGTATAATCAATTAACATTTATATGCCAGATATGTACTGAGTAATGCACAAAGTAAGGATTGTTTTTGCCCCTAAGTCCTGTGAAAGCTTCCATAATCCCCTACTATCTTCAGCCATGACTGACCTTGTATGCTGAAATCAGAGCACCTGTAGTTTTTGCTATAAGCAAGTCAAGCATCAAAACATCACATAAAAGAATGTGGCAGTCTTCTGACTCACACTGAAGTTCAACAGACAATACCAACTTCATTGATTGAATGATCCCGGCAGCAAAGGAAGGTCACTGTCTTGCACTGCCCTGTGACAGAGCTATTGGCACATCCCCAGCTCTTACCGTCTCTCTCTTCCCTTTGCCCTTCTACTCTGCCTTTTACAGAATCATATAGTTGCTGCAGTAGCATGACCTCAAAATAATACCCGTTCAATCAACACTTACTTGAATCTATACCCTCAAAAGGACAACCTCCCTACTAGCTCAGGAGACATGACAACCACCCTATTCAGATTAAGTTTATAAGTCACTCAGTTGTAATTCCCTCCTGACATCTAAATCATTGGGATAGGGCTCACTGCTGAAAAACAAAGGACCAAGATCAAGAAATAATGGACAAACTGAAAATACCTAGTTTTTTTGTGCTGTGGTTTATGTATGTGCACTCCTAGGGCTGCTCAGACAAGACCCCTACCTTATCCCCTGGCACAGCATCTCGCACTCGGCAGCGCTGTCAGCACGTACCGCAGGAAATGTTTGCACGCTGTTTCCTTGAGAGCAGATTGCTCCCATGGATCACTCACTGTCATCGAGCCAGAACAGGCAAGATTCACCAAAGCCGGCTATCACTGGCAGTCTCAGTCTTGTATTTATTCAGTCAAATTATATAGAGATCCATGATTAAACTGCCACAGTGAAATCGCCACTGCAAAAATATTTCAAAGCTCTTCCTCAGAGATCTGTAAAAATTAGAGTGGCTCATCACTGAGAAGTATGGAGTTTGATAACTAAGGTGATTAGCTGGGGCACTAGGAGACAAGGTAACTGATTCTCTGTATCAGCAGCTGCAGAAAGCGAAGCTGGGACACGAGGCCTTCATACTGGGGAGGAAGATGGCAATTAACTTCAAAACTAAAATACAAATTCCTGCTAGATCTGGACTCTCTAAATTATCTCCAAGATTAAAGTTCTCCCTCAGCTTAGTACTTTTTGAAACATAACATTGTGCTTTTAACTCGCCCCAAAAGCTACCTTGCCATTACGATATCTAATAACTACCCTCTAATTCAGAATTACTTGTCCAATGTTAGGAGTTATGCTACGAAATAATGTAGAATGATTCCTCTGTATGATTAGCAGGCTTACTTAAAACTCATCTCCAGACAGCTTGACTTTTAGAAATAACCAACTCTGCCAAACTTTGCTAAATACAAAATTTAGCTTGAGTCTGAAGAGCTGTTTTACCTTAGTGGCTAAAAACATACGAAAAAGAAGAAGAAAGCACCAGTAAACAAAATTAGGAAAAACACATACAATACAGCTTATGAATGTGAGCCATCAGCCAGCAGTTTTAAGACAGAGCATTCATAACAGCTTTTTTATAGCAATCTTCCAGATTCAGAGGGAAATACAAGACATACTGCACATTCCTGTAATTATTAATAGATGTATCCTTAATTATTGTTTATTTAACTAAAATATCTAACTATAGCTTAACAGGAAATAAATATACACTTACCTTGGCCAAGAACCATCATGTCATTCTTCAATGTTTTCAAGACCACAAATAACGTTGGATACTCAATTATTACTTTGCCTTTCAAATTGTCTAGGAGGCTTCTACTGGCATCCAGTTCATTGTACCTTAAAAATAACAGGGAAGTTTATTTTGGATTTTAACAGTACCAAGGACATAACGTACACTTTCTGGGAAAAAACCACAAGCTTTCTGGCAATTCACAGAATTTTCAGATGATATCATGTTCAGAAGAACTGTCTTATGATTCAAATTACGTACCCAGTCCTATTATCCAACTACCTTCTTTTTTTTTAAAACCCTCCTAACATCTAAACATAGGAACAGGAGGAGAATCAAAGTCAAATTTCTCTAAGGGCCAAAATGTTCTTAATTAATATTTATATAATATATATTTATATAATATTTCCTAATTAATCTTTACCAAAATTGGATATGGGCATAGAATTATCAAAATGGATACATTTACCAAAACCAGATTCTAAATTAAAAATAACAATGTTCTACTTATAGGCTTTAACATTAAAAGTTTAATTTACACGGTTAGTAGTGTAGATTATTTATCACGTTTGCTTATGAATTATCAGTGAAGTCCTGGGAAGATGAAATAAAAAACCTATCTGAAAAACTACTGAAGGAAAGTATATTGGAAGCACTTCGAGCTCTGGTTTTGCAGAAGTAAAGGCTCTGGTACCCAGGACATTGGAGCACTAATTTCTAAAAGATGGTACAATGTCCTCATCTATGCCTAAACAAATCTCTGCTTACAGCACTGTCTGCAAAAACGCTCCCTGTAGAAATCCCCACATGGCTCAGATGCACAGTCCTTTCCCAGAAAAGGGCTCCTCTTCACCCTGGAGGGTGAAGCCAGGTACGTAACAGATGATGCCACAGTAATAAAGAACAAATTGAGCATCTTCTCCACGATTATTTTCTAGAACTGTAATATTTTCTCCCAACTCCCTAACTGGAAACCTGGACGTGGGATTTGGGGGAAAGAAGAGGATATTTCAAAGCTCTGTTGAAAGAGAAACCCTGTTGCTTTCACTTGCTGTAACTGTGGCATCCAACAGACGCTCTGATATTATTACACTGCAATCTGAGTTACGCAATTCCTTCTGTAATCAGCATTATTAAATTACTACTAAACTATTGTATCAGTTAAAGGCAAATGAAGTTCAAAACCAAAATACACTGTGGGCAATAAGTGGAGTACTTAGCTGCTCTACTTTCTCTCATCATTAACATATTATGCAGTTGGGTCGTCTTTTGCCAAAGACAACACTGGATGGTTAAAGAAAATGATATACTTTATGATTTACAGCAATGTGTGATTAAAAACAGTGTATCAGAGGAGTCAGCAGACAAGAAGAATATTGAAGATAAAACAGAATTTGAGTTCTTGGGATTTAAGGTTAACTTAGTTTGAGCAAAAACTATTTCTCCCTCTCATATTCAACTTCAATCATCATGAAAATATTTGGTTTCATATTTCTCTCAACCCAAAGTAATTATGACCTCTTCTTACTGAAACCCTTTAAAAGGGATAACAGTATATTACATTTCTACTGAACGAATGCATTCGTAACTTGTGGATTAACACACATGAGCAGAAACATATTTACTGCTTTATTTACAGTACTCCAAATGCAAAGTACAACAATACCTTTCCTTTGGCAAGGGCCTCAATACATTCTTTTCTGCTTAAGCAAACATTTACCACCAAGAGGCTAAAGTAATTCACATGCCACAATACACTTTCCATTATCTCATGTTTTAGACAAAACATCTTTAGCGTCCAGCTTGGCATAAGATAAAACATTTGTACTTAAAACTATTTTATGATAGTAAATTACTGAAGTGTTAGATCACTGAGTCGGAGCTTTATCTTTTTTGTTTTTAAAGTAAATTTTATTGGTTGAGAGTGATAGAGAAAACATCCAAATTTTAGTGCATAATGTGGGCTGTAAACTTCAGGAAGAATATAACAAAGGAGGTCAATGCTTCTCTTTTTTAAGCTTTGCTGTTATTGCCTATGCTATCCAAAAGACCTCATTCCACCCCATTCCCTACTTTATACACAAGTGCAAGTTTACGTTTTCTGCTAATCCACCTGCCAACCCCTTCCTTGGCTGTGCATGCTTAAGAGACCTCAAAAGAAAACTAATACTTGTCACTCAATTCCAAAATCTAATACAGGATGGCTCTTGAGCAAGATTGATTTTTCAGGTTCTCTCCAAATGACTTTGTCACCATAAGAACCTTCCCAATTTTATCCCAGAAGCGGAATAAAAGCCATACACCAGAAGATGAACCTTCGGGAAAAAGATGACTGCCCTGTAAGGTTTTTCCAAAAACCTAAATACACACTCAATTTCAATTTTTACTTATAAAAAGGCTAGACCTGTTTGGAGAAAAACTAAAAATGAAACGAAATGGCATTTTTATAAGTCTTATAATTTACTGTACTGATTATTCACCAAGATAAGCTGAGGATGTAGGGCAACACTGGAACGCAGGTCCTGCTGTGAATTTGCAGGGAAGTTGTCTCACCACAGGTAGGGGATGGAGCAGGGAGAACCAGATAACCAGACATTACCAGATATTCTTTCATCACCATTTTTACCTACTTGTTCTGTATCACTGGGACTGCATAACCTGCTCGGTAAGAACCCATAACAGCCTGAAACCTTCTTCATTTCAAGATACAAGAAACCTATGCATTTCAAGATACAGCCCAGTAAAATAACTGACAACCAATGTTAAGTCTGCCCTTTCACTCGGACTCTTCCACACTCCACGGCTAGCCACAGGAACCAACTTAACTGAGGCTGTCATCATAAATGAGCTCCTTCAGCCCTTCGTGACAGGATGGATTTGAAGATAAGCCTGGCTCTGAATGAACTGACCACCCTGACAGAACCAACCCCTTAATGCCACATCTTCACGTCTTCTTAAACCTCCTCCTGCTTTCTCCTTCCTCCCACTGCCCAGTTCATACAAATGGTCTGCACTACGTCTTCCCCATCCCTATGTTCAGCAGGACTTCTCTTTGCACCCTTCTCCCTGAACCTTCTTTCCTCCCTGATATTTACTTCCCACATATTTCCTCTCTTCCTTCCATACATTCCCTCAGCCTCCTTGTCCGACTCCCACCATCCAATAATGTACTTTCCTGACTCTTTTCTTGCCCCAAGCAAGGCTTTATGCTCATGTCGTGAAGCAAGAAATAAGCCTGGATTTCTTCTTAATAAGACGACTCCATTTGTAAGGACCACAAAGAGACAATCTTGGCAGAAAACAGCTTTTGATTTTAGCTGGAACGGAATAACAATAACTGCTTTTTAAAGGACAAAAATTAAATAGAAGTTGCCTGCCAGCAGGCAGTTTAAAAGCCTACAAAAATTGTGGCAATTTAGAAAATTTAACAGGATTCAGCAATCCCACATCAGTTCCAATATAATCTATTACATTCGTTCCACAAATGGCTTCGCTACCTTTCGCCAAATGCTGAAATTCTTGTGGTTCTACATTTCTGATAGGATCTATGAGCGTCTGCAAAGGACAGTTTCACTATCTATAGTTATTCCACCACCTTCCAGGAATTCAACAATTCAGTGGCCTAATCTGTCTCCCACAGGCAGGAATGCCGCATGAGGTCACCGCATGACAACAAGCTCCCCTCAAATGGAGCCCGTGGCTATCATCGCAGTGGCGTAACTTGTCTCCACGAATTCAGACAGCAGGAAATTCCCTGCTGATCAGGTTTTCCTGAATGTCATCTGCAGGAACTTTGATTTTAATACTAATAAAGAAAAATCTGCAATCTGGAATTAAAGATAAACTGTAACCATGTTATTTCTTCAGTTTAGTCTGCCAGACACCGAAAAGAAAGCAAACAAGTTTTAACCATCTAAATCACTACAAGTATCACTAAAATACATATTTGTAAAACGATGTTCATAATTTTCCCATGAAAGGCATCAACTAAAACCCTTGCGTTTATTTTAAATAAAGATGACTTTTCTTCCTAGAACTGAGTGGAAACCTTGAGGTATTTACTTAGCATAATTCAGATACAATAAATAATGCTATCTATTTTGGGCTTAGACGAAAAATCCACAATCCAACTTCTTCTAACTTATGGGATGAATGAGGATTCTCACCCCCCCACCCCAAACAAAAGTGAGTAGCATTAGCATTTCCTGGGTATCTGCATTTGCCTAGAAGAGAGCAGAGACTGGGCACAGTATTTAAAGTCTCTCCCAAGCACTCATTCTGCAGTGCTGCAACACTGCAAAGATAATAACTAACAGATGCGACTTTCATTCCTAAGTGGTGAATAACCTCTTTGTGTGGTTATGATTTGGTGAACATGGAAGTAGTGACATGCACTCTTGAATTAGGCATTAAAGTTATATGGCAGAAAGTAAACACAATGTATTAAACCAATACGGAGTTTTTGTATTTAACTTTGTCACTAGAATGTTGACATTCTAGAAATCTGGAACACAGTGAATTTTGTTAGTCCGTATGTGTAAAAAAGAAATAGAAAATTCTACAAGCGAAAAAGCAGAGACCTTAGAAACAAAAAAAGGAAATGACTTGCCGTAACACTTCCCTTGTAACTAATTCTTATCAACAGCTGAACAACATGGAAGACTGCTCTGCTTGAACACTTTTTTAAAGAAGAGGGACGGGAACCAAGTTCAGTACTTTATAAATATGAAAAAAAGTGACAGTACTGTTCACTTAAAACCTGCTAGATCCTCCTTCCACTCTTGGTCTATGGTTTTTCTCCTGGTCTAGGACCTCCATATTTTGCCTCAACAAATGTTCACTAACCTCTCCTCCACACTGTTGACACCCACATAGCTCAACCTATAGCAACACATACCAGATGCCTGGCCAAGCCCTTTTCAAGTCAGCTCCCCATCTTCAGGAACACTTTTCCTTGCCATATTTCTGCCATAGATCATTCTCAAATAAGGACTACATTAAGACAAGCTGTATCAAGCTGTGGTCTCCTCTCTTCTATGGGCCGTAAGAGGCCCTTCCCACTAGGGAAATCTAAGATCTACTGAAAACTAAAGTGTAAAATGGAAAA